GTGACGGCGATGGCGTCCCAGGCCGGGAGGAGAGAGCAGGCTCCCAGGAAGAGTACTTCTGCTTCTTCCTGCTGCTCTCGACCGCACTTCTCCCTTCGCTCGGTGCGCCGGCGCATCAGGCGGCGGAGGCATTTCCGTGCCCTCTGGAGCGGATAGTCCTGTCCAGGCGGGCGCTCCTTTCGGAGCAGTTCCGTGCCCCGGTCGGCCAGCTCCAAGGCCACCGGGTCCTCCTGGACCTCAGGCTCCGATCGCCAATGCACAAATTCTTGCAGCAGACCGAGCCGGGTGTGCTCGGCCTGCTGCTTTGTGCTCTCGGGGAGATCGGTCATTCTGTTACGATCAGTGCTGTAGGTGAGCAGGGAAGCAGGGAAAAGGAGCCGGGAAGTCAAAATAACGGGGTTTAATTGGGGAAACAGGACCGGGGAAAGCACACTGACAAACGTCAATGACCGATCTGGGGTACACTGACTGAGACACGGACTAAATGCACAAGACTAGGTAAACGAAATAGGCAACAGGTGAGAACAATCAGGGATGAACACGAGGTAATGAGGTGGGCGTGGCACACATTAGGAGTGGACGGAGCGGGGCGTGACAAAGTGCATATATATTCCCTTTTTTCTTCAGTCTCTTTGCTCATGCAAAATGAAATGCGATTAATATAGATTAAAAATGAATGATATTTAATCGTGATTAATCAAAATTAATCCACAGCAACCCTGTGATTAATCCGATTAAAAATTTTAATCGTTTGACAGCACTAATAAAAACGAAACTTGGCGTACTGCTACGCACATTTTCACGGCAGCTCCAGACATGGCGTACGCACATTTCTGCTCGGCTTTGTAAACGGACGGCACTCAGAGGCAAGTTATTGCTACTGTGCTTTCCCTTTTTAAACTCACAATCATGACATTGACTTTATCCAATACACTAAACAACATTAACTGTGTGTTGTTTACAAATGTACGGCATCCGATTTTAATCAATTTGTAACAATAAAACGGTGCAGAAAATGACCAAACTATTACAACTACCATGGCAGCTCTTGCGTTATTGGAAGACATAGCTTATGGAAGAATTAGAAGAGAGCGCGTATTCAGGGATCGTAGTGATTTCTTGGCCCATGATGATGACTGGCTTCTAAGTCGATTCAGATTTCCCAGAGCAATCCTTTTGGATCTGTGTGCTGAACTGGGGCCAGCATTACAGAGGCAGAAGATGAGGAATTGCGCTATACTGTACCTGTTCCTTTACAAGTTCTGTCCACTCTCGGCTTCTTAGCCACTGGTGCTTTTCAGTGAGAACTTGCAGACCGATCGGGTATTTCTCAGTCAACACCAAGTCACGCCATGCCAGCTGTATGGGACGGCATAATCCACTTGTCACCCAGATACAGTACTGTGCAAAAGTCTTAGGCAGTCCAAAGAAATGTTTAAAGTTGTTTATCTGGTGTAGCAAGTGTACTTTGGCATAGAACAAAAAACACAATTCAACATTAGAACATATGCAAATTAAGAGTAACAGGATAAAAACTAGTAATAATTTCTTCTGTTTTCTAAAAAGTTACTGATATCTAGTTGGATGGCTAGATGAACACCGCTTCAGTTCCCAAACTTCTCCTCATGATTTTGTTAAATTTCACCAACAGCTCAATTAAATTATTAAATAAATTGGTTTAAAAAGTCAGTGACAGATTGACTAGCTGTATGAGGTGGGCTAGTGGCCAAGTCAAAAAATGGCTGCACTGGACGGTCGCTGCAAATACTGGGATGATTTTAGCAGAGGTTCTGAAATGGCTACGCTGACACACTTTGACAGGGCTACTTAAACCACTTAAATACTTAAATATCACTTTTCTTTTCTCGATTTCTGTAAACATGACCTCCACCTCGCACTCGCTGAAATACTTTTTTTCCATGTGGTTTTCCAAAACACAGAAAAAAGCGGGTATGTGTACAGATTTACATATGCCATCCATCCATCCATCCATCATCTGCCGCTTGTCCGGGGTTCGGGTCGCGGGGGCAGCAGCTTCAGGAGAGGCACCCAGACCTCCCTCTCCCCAGCTACCTCCACCAGCTCCTCGGGGGGGACACCGAGGCGTTCCCAGGCCAGCCGAGAGATATAATCCCTCCAGCGAGTCCTGGGCCTGCCCCGGGACCTCCTCCCTGTAGGACATGCACGGAAAACCTCTCCGCACCAGTGGCCTGTACTACGAAGCGGGTTTACTGGCTTATTGGGGTAACTTTGCGAGTAACTTGATGATGTGTGGTGTAACTTCACGATTATCCCATACTACGAAAGGTGGGTAGGTTTT